ATAGTTGATATTATATTCCTGATGATGGTGTGAGAACAACATTGAAACGTTGAAGTAATAAATATACCAGAAGTATATCAATTGTCTTTATTTATCCATATCTTGTGCATCTAATATGCCATTGAAAGATTAATAATACTAGTGTTTTCTGTTGGTGTGTGTATGGTTAATTTACATGATGAAAAAACAGTCATTTTATTGCATTTTTTGCTATTGCTTCATTTTCAAATCATTTTTCAATCTGTGTCTTATAGTTTTTAAATTTGCATGATTCTGACATTTTTAGTTTGTTATTTCTACAATTGTTAAGCATTTCAAATATATTGTTATTTTGTAAAAGTCTCAAGATGATGTATTTATAAAGATATTTTTGCTATTTTGTATTTGTTGTAAATATAAAAACCTATATTTCTATTGTAAAGTTGTATAAGTATGATGTTGTCTTTTGATCATAAAATCTTCATATCATTTGCTGACTCCTGATTTCAATGCAAAAAATCCTCACTTAGACCATTATAATATTTGTAAAAAATGGTTAATTTTCCCTAACTGGTTGATGTCTGAGAAATTTAACTGTTCAATAGATGAATCAACTAGGACAAGTATCAAGTCTTTGCAATCGCACGAAAACCAGAGGATCTGCACATCATTTTCGCTCACAAGAGGCTAGATTTTTGTCATATCATAGTATTTTAATGAGCAAATTTCAACAAACTAACGTTGTTTAGACATGATTCTGTCGACGTAGTTAACAGATAAACCGAGGTATCTTGATAATCGCTATATATGCTTAGTACATCTTCTAATAATTTCTTCATGTCGTTGACCGCTAAATAAAAGCTATTGGTTTGGGATATTAAGACATTCTGTTTACTTTCCTAATGCATTTGTAAGAAACCTGAGAAATGAAGACTGGGAGTATTTAAAGAAATATACTTCTTATATCAAATTTTAATTCTCAATCTTGGTCAAGAGTCAGTGGACTTACTTAGTGTCATAATTATACAACATAATACAAGTAATTATCGAAAATAGCTTACATTATTACATATACAGATTATATAGATTTTTCTGAGTGTCGGGACCACTGATTAGTGTCTTAATTCGGAATACACAGAGTGTCGTACTCAAAGTTTTTAAAACTAGCCTGAGAAGGAAATCAATCGGGACTAGAAAATGATGTCGGATAACGCAGAATGTGGGAATACTCAGATATCGGATATCACAGAGTACACTGCAAACCTAATAACTCGAATAAAGAATTTTAATTTTTGTTCATTTTAAGAGGTAGTATTTCTTTAAAATTTACTTAAAATTTATTTAAGATTTACTTCCGTTTTGGAAGGAAATCCCATGTCAATATTTTACCTATAAAGACAAATCGGTAGCAATATAATATTGTTCTATTGATTGACCACAGAATACTTCACTTTTACACAGTAAAACTAGAAAGTTCGATTATAATAGAAATATTTAGATATAGAATATTTTATTTGTATATTAATCACCTTGGAAACTAGCTACGAAATAGGTACATTTTGTGTTCTTAAACCTAGTTAATTGTACCCTAATATACTTGTCGAATATCAATTAAAATCAGATAACCTATATAAAATTGTGTCTTAAAGGGATTATTAAAAAAGGGTATTCTAAACTTTCTTTCTTTTATGTGTATTAAGGACATTGAAAGCATCGAAATTCCAATTCTCAGACAGACGTAAGTGGTTCTTGTATGTCTACTTACACTTAGTGTTTTTTGTGCCTATCGGCTATCGGGACCCTACCAACCTTCTACGAATCTACGTGTAGTTACAGATCAGTATTCTGATTGATAAAGGCAATTTATTTGAAAGACGTAACAATCATGAATACATGACGTATAAGCATATAAAAATAATAACATATTCGAATTAAATAGACCAAACGTAATGTTGAGAATGAATAATTCATATAATTATCAAAACAATGGGGGAAATTGTGTCTTAAAGGGGTTGTTAAAAACTTTTTTATGTGTATTAAGGACATCGAAAGCACAGTTCCAATTCTCAGACAGCTAAAGTGGTTGTTGCATTTCTACTTACACTTAGTGGTTTATGTCATCACTTTCGCAAAAACCGTCAGATATTTTTATCAACTTTCTCGATATAATAGTGACATAAGAAATTGGCATAGACGATTAACTGAAAAATGGATTGATACAAAACCTCTCTGAAATACCTTTAATTAGGGAAGCATGTTCACTGTGGTTATTTGTACTATTTCTACTCTTGTATACTGTAAGACACTGTCGTAGGAACTTTCGCGATAAACTTCCTCCGTGCCGCCATTGACATGACAGTCATCTTCTTGATATGACCATTTGGTGACCACTTTGCAGCTTGTAAACAATCTGAAGCCATTCACGTGTATCTTACTTAGCTTTATGGTTGCAAGACTGAGATGAATTGTTTATGAGATTTTCGTTTGTCAGATAAAATTTGAACTTAATATTTAAGAATTGTTTGTTTGTTCCCATTGATCCCTCTGCCCGTCGAAACGCCATTTTGGTCAGTTTGTATTAAGAGTGAGGAAGTTCATAGAAACTCCTATATAAAGCACTGGCCGTTTGTGTATTGTACTTTAGACTGGAATTTCTTCAGCTTGGTACATTGATACTAAGATAAGATTATATTGATCGCAGAATTGATAAATTTTGAGTATGACGTATTAGTAGATCTGTTGATATATAACATTCGGTTATCGATAATGATCGATACAAAAACATTACATTGATATTATTCATGAATTGCTTTATCTTAATGGTGAGCTCGTCGATAGTCTTGTTTGTCGTGACTTTGGTCATGGCTTCGAAGGTTTACACAGTTTTCTTACTTTATCTCTTAAACGCCGAACAAATAAAAAGTTTTACAATTTCTAAATGGAGGAGATACAGTTTAAAAGGATATCAAATGGAAGATTTTATTGGGGAAGAAAAACGCAGATCTTTGACCGATTGTATGATAAAATGCAACAGTTACAATAGCGATTGTCTGATAACAGGATTTAATATATTAACTCATATGTGTTATATATATAATAAATTCTTATATGTGACTCAAAATCATATACTGGATTCTAATATGGAGTATTTTATCAAACACCAAGGTAAATTATCATAATACTTTATTACATTTATCACTCTCGTTACAGAGAGGGGTTCTTGTTATGGCAAAGAGATCATAGTGCAAGTTGTAAAAAAATTTCATTTATCAATTTATAACAGAGAGGAATGTTATCACAAAAAGGGTATTATTTGTATAATTAGATATTACATCTTTAACAGGAAGGGCAGTTTTAGAGTCATAATCTGTAAGATTTATCAAGGGTTGTTATCGAAGGTTGTTATCACCATACAACAATGATTTGTTACAATATCTATGTGTAACAGATATTTGCTTATCACAGTTGTATGGTTGTTTGTTATATTATCATTTATGATAATGATATGATATGGTTGCTTTAACTGAGGGTTTGTTTAAAACATCATCAACACTCAATAAGATGTCCCTATCACACTTGTATTTTAGTTTGTTATAATATTATCACTTTGTGACAGACCAATTTTCTTTAGCGGACAGCCGTTCCGACTAACAAATCGCAAACAAAAGCTACAAACAAGCACAAACAAGTGCAAACAAACGCAAATCAGTGTAATTAACGGTAAAAAAGCACAGAAAACACGAATCGGTATTAGAAAATGAGGAAGCGATATTATATGTCCACTATGTTCATGGTTGCACTTAATTGCTCTTGTTTGCGCAATTTAGTCGGAACCCGCAAAGTCACAATTTCAATCATTTCAGGTTATTGTTCGCCACCATTTGTTTCGGCAGAATCAAGATGTGTTTACATATCTAACACAACGAAATATCCCGATACTGCCAGGACACAGTGTGAAACGTTCAAATCAAGTATGATATTGTTAGATACTCATGATGATTTGAGATTTATCAAGGAAAATTTCCCCTATTTACCAGGAGGTAAGTATCTACAATTTGTTTCAATGCAAGGAATTAGTTAAAATTTGAAGTAAGCATGTGAGATATTTAGAGGAAGGGTCCTTGATAAATGAAGGTTTGTTGTAACAATATTCATGTGAATGGAAAGCATTTACCTCTCTCTTCTTCGTTTTGAAGTCAAACATTGAAAATTCACAAGCGAAGAGACTATAATATTATTGTCATTTATTAATCTATTTCTTACTTTTGGTCCCTTGACATTTTTCGTACCACAACCAGAATTTCTTTACCAAGGTTTCGGGGTTAAAGCTGCACACTATACTATAAATGGTAAATATATGTACAAATGGCTATTATATTTCAGATTTTTTTCTAGCTGCCGGCGCGAATAAGTTTGCAGGCGATCTCAATAGTTTTGAATGGTTAAGTGGAGAAATAATAGAAGCCACGTTGTTTTGTCCTGGTGAACCAGACAGACACGGTAATGAAAAAAGTGTTGGAATTTCTCCTCGTGATGGGTTTTGTTTGCGAGATCGACTTTACGAAAACCCCCAGTTATTTATATGTGAAATGATTTAACGGGACGAATATTAAATATCTAACATTTGTTGCTGTGATAGGGGAAGTTTTCTAAAGTGGGAAGTCGTAGAATACCTAAAACGCTATTTTGGAAGTGAAAATAGAATAAATTTTTTCATTTTTTATGGTCCGCCTAAATGCACCACTGTACCAAATCCACATCGTTCAGTTTTCAGTCAGAGCCAAAATGAAACTTCGTATCTTTCTAGCATAGAAAATCTGGTTCTGGTAACGTGGATAGGCGCATAGTATCTTGTATCAGAGCCCAGGGGACAGCTACTAACTGAAAGAATCCTGTCTAATGGAATTTAACAATAATGGTTATCTCTGTCTTAGGAACGTATTGTTGGTCTGGAACTCATTATGCGAAAATTTTCTTCAAAAGTTTAATCCTTTTATTTAAATCTTTACGCGCAATTAATAAATCAATAAAATAAAAAGAAAGGAAAACTGTCTTTTAACTTCATGACATATCTCCGGAATATCAAGGTATTGGAAACTTCCTATGAAACATAACTACCATAGCCGCTATCTTGTATCAAAAAATCAGTGGTGTCTCTTAAGGGGGGTCGATGGAACATTTTATAGCCCCTTCTCCGCCCCTCTCCTGAGAAACGCCACTGCGCGGAATGCAGCGATTTAATTGGATTGTACACCAGGGAATACAGCCGATCAGAGCCCTTAACAGAAAGACTGTAAACACTAGAATTGTTCTAGAAGTTCTGTCGAGGACTCCGATTGGCTGTATTCTCTGACGAACAATCTAACGAATTCTCTGTTACCGTTTTGACTATTAAAATTTGTTACGGTTTTGAGGTGTTACCGTTTTAACTGGATACCATTTGTAGATCTGTAGATATCACCTCTCCATCTCCCCACCCCCCTGAAACCCCGGGCTAGCTACGGGCCGGGTAGATATATGGCATGTGGATAATTGTATCTCCACAAAGATGTAATTAGAATTAGAGTTCACGTGGTGTTTTTCTTGTTTAATATGAATAACTATATAATATTGTACATTTTACATAATAACTACACCCAGGTCTGCGCAAATAGTGGCGAGAACATGCGGTTTTTACTAGGGTTGCGCCCATTGGCAGAAACGGTTTAAGATAACTACCACTTCCAAAACATTCAGAGAACAATATTTAAATTGTCCGAACTATTCCACATGGCATTCGGCTATCGATAATGATCGATACAAGAACATTAGATTGATATTATTCACGAATTTCTTTATCTTAATTGTGAGCTCGTCGATATTCTTGTCTGTCGTGACTTCAGTCATGGCTTCAAAGGTTTACACAGTTTTCTTACTTTGTCTCTTAAACGCCGAGCAAATGAAAAGTTTTACAATTTCTAAATGGAGGAGATACAGTTTAAAAGGATATCATATGGAAGATTTTATTGGGGAGGAAAAACGCAGATCTTTGACCGATTGTATGATAAAATACAGTTACAATAGCGATTGTCTGATAACAGGATTTAATATATTAACTTATATGTGTTATATATATAATAAATTCTTATATGTGACTCAAAATCATATACTGGATTCTAATATGGAGTATTTTATCTAACACCAAGGTAAATTATCATAATACTTTATTACATTTATCACTCTCGTTACAGAGAGGGGTTCTTGTTATGGCAACTATTTTATATTAGTTAAATTTTGATACAGAAAAAGATCATAGAGCAAGTTGTAAAAAAAATTTCATTTATCAATTTATAGCAGAGAGGAATGTTATCACAAAAAAGGTATTATTCGTATAATTAGATATTACATCTTTAACAGGGATAGCAGTTTGATATGGTTGCTTTAACTGAGGGTTTGTTTAAAACATCCTCAACTTTCAATGAGATGTCCCTATCACACTTGTATTTTAGTTTGTTATAATATTATCACTTTGTGACAGACCAATTTTCTTTAGCGGACAGCCATTCCGACTAAAAAAGCGCAAACAAGTGCTACAAACAAGCACAAACAAGTATAAACAAGCGCAAACAAACGCAAATCAGTGTAATTAATGGTAAAAAAGCACAGAAAACACGAATCGGTATTAGAAAATCAGGAAGCGATTTTTATGTCAACTATGTGCTTGTTTGCCCTTAATTGTTTGCGCAAAGTCACAATTTCAATCATTTCAGGTTATTGTTCGCCACCATTTGTTTCGGCAGAATCAAGATGTGTTTACATATCTAACACAACGAAATATCCCGATACTGCCAGGACACAGTGTGAAACGTTCAAATCAAGTGTGATATTGTTAGATACTCATGATGATTTGAGATTTATTAAGGAAAATTTCCCCTATTTACCAGGAGGTAGGTATCTACAATTTGTTTCAATGCAAGGAATTAGTTAAAATTTGAAGTAAGCATGTGAGATATTTAGAGGAAGGGTCCTTGATAAATGAAGGTTTGTTGTAACAATATTCATGTGAATGGAAAGCATTTACCTCTCTCTTCTTCGTTTTGAAGTCAAACATCGAAAATTCACAAGCGAAGAGACTCTGAAAAATGCCTATAATATTATTGTCATTTATTAATCTATTTCTTACTTTTGGTCCCTTGACATTTTTCGTACCACAACCAGAATTTCTTTACCAAGGTTTCGGGGTAAAAGCTGCGCACTATACTATATATGGTAAATATATGTACAAATGGCTATTATATTTCAGGTTTTTTTCTAGCTGCCGGCGCGAATAAGTTTGCAGGTGATCTCAATAGTTTTGAATGGTTAAGTGGAGAAATAATAGAAGCCACGTTGTTTTGTCCTGGTGAACCAGACAGAGACGATGATGAAAAAAGTGTTGGAATCTCTACTGATAGGTTTTGTTTGAAAGATCGACTTTACGAAATACCCCGGTTATTCATATGTGAAATGATTTAACGGGACAAATATTAAATATTTAACATTTGTTGCTGTGATGGGAAAGTTTTCTAAAGTGGGAAGTCGTAGAATACCTAAAACGCCATTTTGGAAGTGAAAATAGAATACTATTTTTCATTTGTTATGGTCCGAAGGGGGGGGGGGGGGGGATTGAATAACAGCCTAAATGCACCACTGTACCTAATCCACATCGTTCAGTTTTCAGTCAGAGCCAAAATGAAACTTCGTATCTTTCTAGCATAGAAAATCTGGTTCTGGTAATGTGGATAGGCGCATAGTTTCTTGTATCAGAGCCCAGGGGGACAGCTACTAACTGAAAGAATCCTGTCTAATGGAATTTAACAATAATGGTTATCTCTGTCTTAGGAACGTATTGTTGGTCTGGAACTCATTATGCAAATGTTCTTCAAATGTTTAATCCTTTTATTTAAATCTTTACGCGCAATTAATAAATCAATAAATCAATAAATTTGTGCAGCTTAGAGGCATTCTAAAGAGGTCATTGAAGGGGGCACTTAGTTCTGTTAACATCATTCCTATCGTCTATAGTTTCTACTACAGGAAAACCAGGCCGCCAAGGTATAATTATGGCATAAACATTTGGCCGGAATGGTATTTCCCTTCCGACGTTTGTGGTTCCTGAATTTATGGGAAAATAAGACCACTACGTCGTTAACAACCATTGATTGTATATGCAAGAAAACCTCTTTTTAATCACTAAGCCGGTAAATGCTTTATTTGATTTATTGTGTTAATATCTTATAGAGCTGAACTGCAATCACCCATATAAGTTAAGTTTTTGTATTGTTTCAATACAGTGTCTGTATACCACTGGCAGTTGTTGATTTCTCAGACCATCATGATCCTGCTTTCCACAAACCTATATCTGGCCAAAGAGGGAGTATTTATAAAAGTGTGAGGTGTTGATATTTTTAATAATCTGTTGGTTTGGCGACTTTTTTATATTGAAATAAAACATATCGCCCAAGGATTAACTTTCATTCAATTCCACGTGGAACGTTTTATGAATCCTTTTAAATTAGATAAATACAGAATGATCAACAAATTTCAATAAAAATTGAAAGAACTTTGAAAAGAATCAATTCCCGATATCTTGTTCTGCATACATCAATGCAAACATGTACCAATAAACTCTAATGTAAGAAACCTGTCCCATGTTTAATTCATTTACCCGGGTAAAAAAATCAATAAAAATGTCTGTCTGAAACCTAACTACCATAGCCGCCATCTTGTATCAAGAAATCAGTGGTGTTTCTTAAAGTGGGTCGGTGGAACATTTTGTAGCCCCTTCTCCGCCCCTCACCTGAGAAATGGAATGGGGCGATTTGATTGGATTGTACGCCAGCCGACCTGAGCCCTGGACAGAAAGGCTGTAAACGCTATAATTATTACTGTTTAAAGAATTTCTGTCTAGTACTCTGATTGGCTGTATTCTCTAACGATCAGTCCAACCAATTCACTGCATTTGCAAATTCCGTAAAAGTAAAACAAGAAACTTGGCTAGTGCACTCAAGACACAGTTCGTAATAGCTAAACATTGTGGAGATTCTATGAAGAAACAGCTTCTCTATTGTTGTAATGGGTTTACCTCATCAATATCTCAAGAGTTACCAGTCAGTTCATGAGGACCCGTACAACATACAACCTACCTCTAGGTAGTAAAAAAACATGTGAAGCTTTCATAATTTCTTTTGTGCTTTAGATAATAGCACTGAAACTTTGTTTTAATGTCATCAATATGTAAAATGTCAAATCAATGTCATAGAAAATGTCTGAAAAGCTCTTTTTTACTTTTTGAAAGTTATGAAATACATCCTGAAATAAACCAGCCTAAACTGTCTTGTTGAATTACGTGTATTCAGGAATTATTCGACATTATTTTACAATTTGAAATCAGAAATAAAATGAAAGCTTTACGTGTCTTACAATTCTGCATGTTATATTTTTTTCAAAATTATGTATTTGTCAGATCAGTTGTGTTTGTTTGTATAAAAAGTTGTATTGATGTTTAAGTATTTAACAGCAGTAGGTCCTAACCTGCTATTCGCTCAATTTACCTCATATAGCTCCGGATGTCGACAATTTGCTAAGAAATTTTAGTCAATACTTGCACTGTAGATGACATATTATTACACAAGAATTACTTCAATTTCTAGTCATAAAGTATAAAAGGAATATATATATATATTAAGATATAGAAGATAAATACATAAAGTAAGAAGAACAAACTCCTTTAAGAAACGTACTAAGAATTGGACAAACGCACTAAAGTTTAATGTTGACTTAAATAATGACTGCATTTAGAATCACTGTTTGGTCCGATAAATCCATAAAAAGAAGTAATTATCCATATAACTGATTCTGAATTAAATGTTATGGCACCAAATAAGTCCATTGATTATCATATACAATATTTGAATGTTTACTAGGAACGATCGTTGTAATACATTGTTATTAACAACAGGTATCTGTACAGTTCTTCAGGAGTTACTTCATGAACATAATGCAACATCATCATTTATAACAAAGACCTGGAGCATAAATTTCATTGGTACAAAATAATTTTCCAATCAAAGAGTTGGTAACCCGAGTTGGTTGTTTATTATTCTAGAGACTACTTGTAGGAGACACAGCAATAGTACTGTCTAATAGTAATTTAAATATAGAAGGAACCCTTCAACCATCTACAAGTGTAAATACTTATGTTCAATTAACTATTAATCAGTGGTGGGCCAAGTACCCAGTAATTATTATACTCCACATAAAACGTTATGGAATGAAACGGACCCTTGTATATTTCCCGTTATCCCTTTGAAACTGTAACGGTTCACATCTACTATAACAGCTGGCTAGCGCCTTCCACGCGACCAAACCATCACAATTTGACGGAAGTAATTAATAAAATGTTTAATACAGAGAAAAGAATTTTATTCTCTGATATCTTCATTACACCACTCGCCTTTATTTTTCATAAGATCAAAACAAAAATTGCCATCAAATATTTCAAAGAGCACTACAAACACTGCCGAGTGGGGTGTCAAGCACTACATTAAAAGATAAAACAAGTCGTGGAAATATCATGAAATTTAAAGAAATTCTTTCGCTTTGACGTGTGCAAGGTAAATTAGTTTGTCTCATCTATGACCCACAAGTGTCGTTGTCGATCCAAAAAATGCAACGCAGGTCAATTGTCTCTTCCAAGATGTATCGTCTAAATTGGTCAGTCATAACTTTTAACCTTTTTTAAATGGTGCCCCAGTAGTGCTTTGGTTTGGATCTGAATTTGTCTAACAAATATGGGAGTTTTCGTGGTATATGTCTTAGAACAAAGTAAGTCTTCGTCTCTTACATCTTTCATTCAGTGTAATTAGGGAACAGATAGTCACGATGTAGCATTAAATGCACGCGTAAGTATCAGAATATTCCCCCCCCCCCCATCCATCAGTTTTCCCTCTATTTGCACACTACAGTTTCAGTAGACTGTTGCCGACACTGCTGACAAGCTGACGCTCGATTCCCATATCACCAATTTCCATTTCATCCACTTTTATTCCATTCATTTTTTCGTTGTCCTCTTTCCAATACCAACCCTTTTTCATTTCACCCCTGTGATTTTCCGACCTTTCCCATTTAGCCCCTTTCATTGTTCGCCCCTTCATACCTACACGGGACCTCGGTTGATCGTCTCCTCCGCTATACAACTGACAAGGGAGACCCGTCCTGAAACTCTTACAGAGTTGGCATTGGATTTGGAAATGAATGAATTTCTTTAACACTTTTTGACGGGCGCCTAAAAAAACACTTGTTTGGAAAGGTTCTGGAATTATTTAAATCTATCTAAAAAAAAAATAAGTAGACAAATTATTTGTCTGCCAGAAACGGAAATCCTTTCATAATACCGCCATTCAACTAAAGACTCAAAGGGATACATAATTTGTATTCTATTGATAATATGCCTAACCGATAATGTAATAAAACGTCATCACGTCGTTAAAGAGGCATCTTTACAATTCGTTCAAACAATAATACCTTAATCTTAAAAATGGGATTTTTTTGGCTTATTAGATTATCAGAAATACCGTCAAGATCTCACTGTCATGCATGTGTATCCATAATTATCAGTGTTTGAAAGCAAAAATACGAATCTTATTTTAGTGAGACAATGCCTTATATAGAAAACGCACAATATAGCTGAAGTACTTTTGGAGTTAATTTACAAATATATTTAAGACCAAAATCGACGCTCGAAAATACTGAATGTTCCCCTTTAAGGCTTTAAACGTTTCAAACCACGTTGCACTTTATGAACTAGCCTATATCATATACATGTATACTAAATTTTGTCTTAACATGGTACTGGGAGCGAGGATTAAGAACGGAAACTCTCTCCCCTAAATTGCTTCAAAAAGAGCTTACACGTATTTTAGAAAGAAGAAACAGGACAATGAAACTTGTCTTGAGGGTATTTAAAAATGGTCAAGGACGGTCACTTTAATTTTTCATGATTTTTTGAGTCATTGAGTGCACTTCTGCAAAAGACATATTTTGAGAAATTTTATTAATATGTGTTTTTTATGAATTATCATGTGTTCTTAATCATTTCATTATGTTCTTATTGCATATGAAGAGTTCTAACCAATCATAAATGTCCATGTAAGAACAGTCTGGATTAACAAAAAAATACTTTTTGACCTTTCTTGTCCGGTCACACAGTGGAATTCTGCTTGTAATTCTCTTCAATGTTAGCTAATTATGAATTAATTATGGACATGTGAGACAAACTGGTATTTTTCCAAGTCATTACAACATCTCTACGTTCTATTCATATAAGTATCCATAATGAAAACCCATCTTTAATAGTCTAAATAGATAATATTTCTTATTTGGTATATTTATTCTATAATGCCAATGCCTACTTTCGTCTTGTGGAATCCGAAATTTCGACTGGCGGAATCCAAAATTTCGAGTTGTGGAATCCGAAATTTCGACTTGTGGAATCTGAAATTTCGACTTGTGCAAAATACATTCAGAAAAATAAATTTTTTTTAGATGGGTCTAAAAGGCTTTCGTACATTCTTAAAAAATCTAATTGAACAAACAAATCAGATAATATCAGATAAGAAAATATATCATAGAACGAGGAACATGTCGAACTTAAACTGTAAACAATTTGAACCCAGCGAGGGTGAAAACGACAGCCGGTCTCAATGGTCTTTATGTTAATCTATTTATTTTCTCTACCACTGTTTGATTACATGATCACCACAAGTGGTCAAAAGTCGGCTCCAATTACCCGGTTGAAATAACTCATTTCGTCTTGCTTACCGTTATTTTCATTTACATTGAAGGAGAAAATAATATCCTACGTCACAATTCCTAACACCTGTTCTTGTCAGATTAAAGCGCGTGCCATTCTTCTAAAAGGCGGAGCATCTTATGCAAATATGAATGATGCCAGATGATTGGTTCCTGGCATCTTAAGAAGCTGATAATTCGGGTGTAATTGGCACCCCATTCTGAATAAAGTTATATACTTATCAAACAAAACGTATATTTACCGTTATATATTTGTCGGCACCTTTTATTCTTTTGGATGCTGGTTATTTCAAATAATATTTTGATTTGGAAAGAAGGATAAAATTTATAAAAAATGGAGTACATAGAAATTGGTAAGCTTTATAATTTTTTTCGAATTTTATTTTTCTTTATAAATTTTGTAGTATCACTTCATGATTTATGGCAGATTTTTACACCAAACGAAATTAATACAATTTCTTATTGGCTTCAGAATCGGTGGCTTAAACCTGACTGGTCTGAAGCGTTTATTTCTATGTTTTTATATCAGGAAATCGAACTGCACGAAACAATTTTTTTTCTATTTTAGATCCAAATTTAAATGTTCAAATCTTGCATTGTTCTTGATATGATTTCATAATCTACACATGTTTTAATATTGACCACTTTCGTCACCCATGGCCGAAAAAAAACCCGACGGAAAAGGGACTTATAAATTTTTGTTCAACATCTGTACTACAAATAATGAACGATACAAACAATTAGTTTTATTGGAATAAAAAAATATAAATTTATAAAATAATCATGATATATCTTGAAAACAATCATCAGGAGATAAATTAAATTTTCGTTATCTAAATTAATTTCAATCTATTGTATCAATCTACTCGAGCGATTGTTATTGTCTCTGTTGGAAGTCTTGATATCATTGATAATTACGTTAATAAAATAACATAATAAGATAGGTCAAAGAAGGGAACCTTGCTTCACCCCGTGTGCCGATTGATATCAATTACTTAATATTACAGAACTATAGATTGCAATAATCTGTTTAATACCCGGAAAACCCTTTTCAAGACCAGTATCTTTTTAAGTTTTTGAAGTATCTTCCCAATCGTGAAGATTCCATTTTTGTGGACATTTTTTGATTCCAACACACTTTGAAAAGATTCAAGTTGTTATTGTGATAAAATATACTAATATACTAATAATAAAATATTATTTTGTATAAAAACCAAAAGTTTAGAATTTCAGTTGATTTTTCAGTTCACTTTTTTTCATATAAATACTGAATTTATGTGATACTCGGATCAAATGGTAACCAAAAAATATTTGAAGAAATTATCTTACCTTCGAATGGATTGCAAAAGTTAAACGTAAACGATAAATAAGATAAATCATAACATATTTAAATCAAAAACTATTTTTGTAACCAATTTACCGATTTCGGGGCAGGGAGGGTTTGATTCTCTCAAATATACAGGTCTAGGGTGGAGCAGACACTTTATTTAGAAATTAGGATTAAGGGTCTTGATATTGGGTTTTCTTCTAAGGGATAAATATATCTATATAAATTAAACGGCCTCCCTTTCCTGCTAAAGAGCTTTTTGTTAATACATTATAGATAGAAATTGATATCCACACAATTTGTTCTTGTATTTATTACAAATTTCACAGCAGTCTAAATTATACTTTAATAAATATACAAAATATATCAAATTTAACATTAAGTACAATTTTAGGTAAATAATTAATATATATATATTTTTTCAGATGTAACAAGTAACACAAATGTTCCTGACGGTCATCCTATGATGTCACAATCTGACATACTACGTCACTTCCACCAATCAAATGACACCCAGAGCATTACCAATAACACCTCCCACAGTTCCATTATGAGAGAACAAACTAACAAATCAACTGGTCAATTTCTGGCATCGTCCCTAGAGATGTCAGTTAGTGAAAGGCAGGCGGTTCGAACTGACAACACCGAAGTTAAATCTGATCCCAAGAGTGCTGTTAAACCTATTGTTCGACCTTGGCTAATCGAACCATCTACGAAGAAGAGTAATCAGAAGCAAAATAATCCAATCGTCTCCCAGAGTCAAAATGTGCCCAACGTTGTCCAGCCGACACATCCTGTTGTACCGTTACCTTTATCACCACGATACTGTTCAGATCAGCTTACCCTCAATCAAATTGATGCTATCAGACTTTTACGAGATCAAGCAGTTCTATATTCCGATCCTAAAACATCTTACTACCACGATCCTAGCTTCAGGAACAATCTGAATTCTTGGTTTTATTTTCTACGGAATGGAAGTTGTGAAGGTCGGGTTACCACTGATCAATGGCCTAATACAGCCATTTCACCTAGCCATCATTCTATGTCGATCAATGGACAATCACCGCCGCGGTTTCAATGTGATGCCTGTCAGAAAAGTTACTCAACATTTGGTGGACTGTCAAAACACAAACAATTCCATTGTGCACAACAAATAAAAAAGGATTTTCGCTGTAAATATTGTGATAAATCTTATTCTTCTCTAGGAGCTCTGAAGATGCACATTAGAACTCATACTCTACCATGTAAATGTAAACTTTGTGGTAAGGCGTTTTCACGTCCTTGGTTGTTACAGGGGCATATTAGAACACATACTGGAGAGAAACCATTCAGCTGTCAACATTGTGGTCGAGCATTCGCTGATAGGTCGAATCTGAGAGCTCATCTTCAAACTCATGCCGAAATCAAGAAATACGGATGTAAAAATTGTTCCAAAACATTCTCGAGAATGTCTTTACTGGTGAAACATGGTGAAAGTAGCTGTATGGGTATTGTTCGGTAACATTGACCTGCTTAAAACTTGAACTATTGAATTAGAATTTGTATCACAAGAGTCATCATATCAACTGAGAAAATTTCGTGATGTTCTTATGATAAAAGCATCGCAAGTTGTCGGATTTTGTAAAACAAAACACCTCATAGTTCATAGTTACATTTATTGAAATTATTATTGAGTTTCATTAAAGTCGTTCATTGAAGATTGTGCATAAATCAATCATTATGATGACATTGCGTTCACATAGTTATATCATAGTATAGGTAAAATAATCAAAAGAAATCTTTACACTCGATAACCGAGGACGAAACAATTCGTGTTGTAATGTTACTATTGTCTGTGTTTTCAAACGGACGACAAACAAATTTCGTTACATATATCAATTATTGAAGAGTTTGTTGAGTTCACCTTTTCTGTGCAGTTATCGATATATCGATATTTAAATGTAATATACTTCATGGTTTTCATTTTTAAGACGTTCAAGGCAGAAAAGTTCTGCAACGGTAAGGATTCTCCACCACGGAGTTGCTGTAACCAAGCATTGTTGTTAGATATTACACGCGTTTGATTGTGTTCAGAGTCTCTGATGTGTAATAAAGGTGCTTTGTAAAACAATTTCAAAATGGAGGTCGGGTAGACTGGAGGATTTATTGCTTCATTGACGGGACCAAACGTGAATGTTTGTTGTAGAGTGAGATAATCAGAGAAAATAAAATACCACACACAATGATAAATAGTGGTGCCAAATATCTTTAAGAGAACAAAATATATCTTTTCTTATTCAAATCTTAGGTCTTTAATTTCTTCAGGGTTTATCAAGATTTAAATATTTTTAAATGATGTTTATCTTATGTTTTATAATTTATTATAACTTTTGACTATTTTTTGGGATATGGTGTCAAGGGATATTTGGTCGATTTTAACTCGCTGACATCACAAAGACTAGTAAGCTTTAGTTTACTTTTTTAATATTTATTTATTATTTATGGCTGCATTTGGTATCCATACTTTTTTCATCATCACAAAACTATAAATCCACAAAGTTCTTCAATTTGTGATGTAACATATTTACCTTTCCATAATATCCAAACCAGTATTATTTTTTGTATTGAACATGTGATGTCAAATAATTGCAGTCGATTACATATATTCTATTGCATGTAAATATTGTTATTGTATATTCATTCATTAAATATTTAATATCATAATATTTATTTAATCGCAATAAAATTTCTTCATAATATTTTTATTTTTTATTTAATTTTGAAACAAGACTGCTACCGTTTAAAGTGATACTACGTCTTAGAATGAACATAAAATTTAAATTCTCGAATAGGTCAATATTAGTCTATATTCATCAGTTAGATTACCTAGTGTCATAAAGTTACAACAGAATCCCTGTAAAATCTTGAAAATTTGAAAATTCATAAAAATAAGTAATTATTGAAAAACGCTTAATCTTGATATAATATATAATTATAATATTTCAATAGTTAATTGCATATTTATGGATACTTATTAAGTTTTTGGGATTTATCGGATTATATAAGGATTCTGTTATGTTATTTATGACACACGGTATATCTACTGGCTCTTATTCGCCAAGCTTAAAATTCTTAAATTTTATGTTAATTCTAAGACGTAGTATCACTTTAAGATACCTCGAAGTAGTGAAGAAGCCTCACACAAGATATGTCATCGAATCCTTGGCATCTTTATGATTTATCATATTGATTAACTGTATTGTTTGAATTAAATGCTCTGAGTTTTTGTTTATCGTGATGACAAGAAGATCAACCGATACAATTGGTTTTGTTGCGCATCTTTAATGAAAACCATTTAGTAACTTCTGATATGAAATATTTCTTACTGATGTTTTAAGCTAGCCTATGTGCTGTTTTGACGTGAGGAACTGACATCGGTATACATTTCTGTAACACTGACGCACACAACTATTCTGGTAACCCACGAGATCCTTTTTGTTGAAAATTCTTTAGTAATCCGAATTAAAATTTCGTTTGACTAACTTTAAGTTGCAATTGGGATTTCTCATATAAATGAATGCATTGAAATGCGACCTGGTCCGAACCTGGAATACAAGTCCTTGTTGCCGTCTGCAGTAAAATGTGCTATCTCGTTCCGAATTTACACCCAAATTGCATCTGGCTACATTTTACAATGTATACATATCACACCTGCGGTGGGTCAATCGTCATTGGTGGCTACATTTAGACTAAATTACAAGAATATAAACACAGAACACACTTGCCTATTTAAAGGGATATTAGCCATTTTGTAATTGGTGTAGAAAATGTTTATTTATGTTGTAAGAATAGGCAGTAACATGATAATCAAACTGCCTGTTTTCATACCTATCACGTTAAACGTCTAAACAAACGTGAGAACATCTTTCTTTGACTTATTTGATGAGATACACGTGTTCTTGGACCATTGTAAATACATTAATCACATGTTCTAATATTGTTTTATATCCCCATCATTCACCGGTACAATTTGCATAGTTTGGCAAAGGTTGCAAGTACATATTTTATTTACTTGTAAGTTAACGCTAGTTTGAATGATAATAACGCCACAGAGTAATGGTTGGTTGGTAGATGACATGTTCTTCGAGCGGATGTTGATATCACAAACTAGGTAGTTGTTGGTAGACGTAGTAGTTGGTAGTTGCATTGAATGATTCTAAACTGTTGGTTTGGAGTGTTTTGGAAAATATGTTCACAAAAAAAAATACACAACTCGTCATCGTCTCCAAATTTCTTTTCTAATGCAAATGTATCTTCGCCCATCATCTGGCGAAATTGTAACGCATGTTATGTTTTAGGTAATTGGGCGTGTTCAACATAAATGGACATTTATGACTGGAACATAATGATAAGATTAAGAATACATGGTAATTCATTAGAAACACTAATAAATGAAATAATTTGCTTAAATTGACACTAAAAAATAAGGAAGCCCATCTTTAAATCTTTATAGTACATAGGGGCATATCCATTGTGCATTTGTGACAAATGATAAACGATTTGTCTATTAGTTGTTACTTTAAAATCCTTCCTCATTCCTCACCTCTTTTTCTAATGAAATATTTTCTAAGTTAAAATATTGGCCAGAAAATGAGAGGAGCTAGTAAGAAGTGTAGCAAGTGAAATAATGATAATAGATTTACCAAAGTTAAGAGAAATAATTGTTTGATAATAGTCTGTTTCTGTCTTTACTTTGTGCCAACAATTATATCAGTTTCTTCTTACAATCTAAATATCAACAAAACAGATACACTTTCTTCTCGTGCTTCTTTCTTTTAGTTTTTTTTAAAGAGGCCAACTGAAAAGGACCATAACCAAAAACCATTGAGATGCAGAAAAAAGAAAAAGTTTTTTTCAATTCTGAACAGATACAGATTAACTTCAAAACACCATCTCTATATTTCTTATTAAAACAAGATCTAAATACATCAGAAACACTTTCTTCTCTTGTTTCTTTCTTTAGTTTTTTTTAAAGAGATCAACTGAAAAAGACCATTTATATACAGAAAGTTGAACGTAAAAAAGAATATGTTTTATATTACATGTTCCTTTACATATAACGACAAAAAATCTGAATTTAACAGATACACTTTCTTCTAGTGCTTCTTTCCTCTGTCCTTTTAAGAAGACAAGACAAGATCTTAACACAAAGCACATTTAGAACAGAATCAAATATGAAATAGACCAGTTTTATAATACATTTAAGATTTACATAGAACAAAAAAGACTTTCTCTACGTTTGTAATAATATTCATCTGTACACAACAGATTGTTTTCTACCCTTAATATATATGTATAAATTTTTAATATCTAAAGTTTTAAATTCTTTGGTAGGCTACTACTAAATTTCACTGCCAAAATGAAGGAATTGCTCTGTCTCTTTAACGCTGTTCAATAGAAAATATATCGTTACTCTTTTCGTTTCTTTTCCTCTCACCTGCTTGTGCTTGTACGAAGCGACAGGTTCGACATTTTTCAGTTTTTTACTCTGTTTTTCCACCTCATTTCACACGGAGTAGAATGATGAATATTACACACGTTTCATCTCAATTTTCTGTGAATAAATTAACCTCCTATAGGGAAGTAGACTAAATTACCATTTGTTAAAATTGATGTATGGATTTAACATACGTACAACGACCCTCTTTGTACTCCCAGTTTACAAAGGCAAATTAAAAGTTCTAAAAATACTTCAAGAATTTGTATGTTTGGTCTCAAGCCTCAATCGACGATTAACACTCGGGCAAGTTATACTTTTGGTTACTCTGTTAGTTACCTTATCAAGCTTATTGGAAGTGTCGGAACGAGAATTATAGTTCTCTGTCAATTTGCCTTGGATTTGAAACTATCTGTTATTTCTCGAGATATGAACGAATTCTTCCAATTTTTGTTTTATGTCCCATGATCTAAAAGATTTCATCAAGTATGATCCAGTACTTTTGACAAATTTCAACCACGAAAGAGCTATCTTTGGGAAAAACCTCTTCGTAACTACACCAAACAACCGTTCTTCATTTTTCAATATATCTGCAAAGCAGATCCTCAGATTTAGTTGTTGAAGGACATTAAACTTTGTAAGTTTAACATGTTTGTAACAATCGATTAGTTTTTTTTGACAACACAAGTTTTACGATAATTGATTTTGCTTTTTAAACTCTCACTGCGCTTTCTGCATCCCTCAAGATACACGAGTTTTGCCTAAATCTGAATGAACTCACTGTGCTTTCTGCACCCGCCAAGATACATTCTGAAATAACTTATATTCAAGAAGGTGCGTTAATAGAGGCAGACGTTCATTAATTAAAACTTGAATCAAAGTAATGATAGAGTCATTAATTCTGCTGGTTTGTACCTCAATACAAGACGCTGTATAATTACCCAGCACTTGTGTACATTTCACTTGGAACTTGGCAACATCAAAGTCAGTGCTAACTGCTTCATTTCTATAAACATGTTCCATAC